TGTACAGGGTTGGATTCCAGCCAGCGGCTCATGTGCTGCAGCTCCTGTCCGTGTTTCTCTGTCGCTGTTCTACACACTGAAGTCAGAAAAGCCCCAAAACATGTCTTTTAAAAACAGAAACACTCATTCTTACATGTTTCAAGTTTTTGCATGTTTTATGGTTTCGTATGACGTGTTTTTAAATGCTGCGTGTTGTTACGTGTCATGTGACCCTGGTTCCATGTGACCCTGGTTCCATGTGACCCTGGTTCCGCTGTGCTCATACTGACGGTCTGAATCAGAGTCACAGGTTCCGTTTGGAACCTTGTTCAGCTGCTGAGAACGTTCCTGAGCTTCCAGAACATCAGCAGCATCACAGACACTAAACGTCACTGAGCCGAGGTTCCTTCTCTTCTTCTCATCGTCTTTGTTTTACTTACTGCCACAGGCTGATTAATGAACAGTCAATCGGCGATCAATAATCCCGGCGGACGCAGCTCCCTCATCGAACCAGTCGAAGTGAAGACATCCTGGAGGCTGCTGCGCCGATCAGCCGACACGTTTTCATCCTCAGCCTTCATGTTTACACAAAACATCTTTGATCAGATTCTAGTTTTCAAACTATTTTTAGAGTTAAAGTTCGTCTGCGGTTCACGGATCCATTTGTACTCCAACTGTCCTCAGTGGGTTTAATATTAGACCAAACAGTGAGGCGGGCAGCAGCCTGTGAGACGAGCTGAAGGGCACAGAGTCAACAGTGATCAGTCATGGATCAGTACATCAGTCAGCTGATCAGAGCTGCGTCTCAACAATCCCTGATTAATAAAAACTGTACATCTGTGAAGCAGCAAAGCAACCCGAGAACCTACGGCAGACAGGTGTGTCTGTAACCACGGTAACACGGTCCATTTTGTTCGGGCCTTTCTTTCTGTTCTTAAAACTTTAGCAAACAAAAAAGTTCTTAGAACCCCACAACAACAGGTCATTTAGGGAACCTTTATTGTCCAGACAGGTGTTCGTGGACCCACCTGCACTCAGAAGAAACAAGACGTCACTAGAACCAGTTTGCTGCAACGATTCCATGGAAGAACAATTTCATTTCCATAAAGAACCTTTTAGCAAGAGGTTCTTTCTTCAAACTGTTCTTTCAAGAAGCACTTCTTCAAATGGTTCTTTGAGGAACCATTTTCTGGATAGTTCTTTGTGGATCCACCTGGTTCTGTTTTATAAACTGGACTTGATAATCGTTTAAGCAAAAAAGTTTGCAGCATTTCTGGATTCCTTTCAGGAGAACATGTTTATTTGTGGGTTCTTGGTCAGACAGAACGATGTGTTCTAAGGTGGCAGCCTGCGACGCCGTGACCAACATTTCTCTGTTTCTGATGTTTGATCCACCAATCGATTCACTCATAATGAAAACAATGTTGAGCTGGAACCAGACAGCCTTCTGAGGAGCCACTTCAGAACCGATATATTTGGGAGCACAGCGACGTCCTGAACCTGAAGAACCTGCATCAGTCACTGAGTCATGTGACATCACGAGGGGGCGGAGCTTCTCCCCCGCACTGAGCGGACAGATGACAGCGGGACTCAGACGGAGACAGAGCGGAGGTGGAGTTGTCTCTTTTCTTCTCCTGTCATCAATAATCAATAATCAGCCTGATGATCAGTAGCCTGGACTCCTGCGGGTCAGCAGCTGGACGGTAAGACCGCGGCCGTGTGTCAGCTGAGAGCAGCAGCGGTGTTTAGTCAGTTTACTGGAGCAGATTTAACAGGATCAGCTGCAGATTAACATGTCAGAGGGAATAAATACACTGCAAGAGGACCAAATGACAGTTCACAGTCACAGTTTCATATCTGAGCTCCTCTGAAGTGTCAGCGGATGTTTCTCATCTGCTCAACTCTGCCTTATGTTTATATCACAAGAGTTTATTCAGAAATCAAACAGAAATACAAAGAAAATGTTCAGACAGTGAAGAAGAAACTAAGCCTCTATGGAGTCGACAATTAAGAAGAAGATTTATTTTTCTGTCTTTTCCTGAACCTTTATTTGGCTGAAGCCTTTGAGATCATTTTGTACTTTGTTACATTATTGATCTAATTATTGGCAGATTATTGGCATGGTCTTAAGCATTCTCACCATTATTCATCATCTCATAAAATGTGTCTGAAATCTGATTTTTTTTCTGATCTGAACTCAGCAAACTAAACTGAGAGCACATTAACTGATTTAATGTTGTCACAGCGGTCCAATCAGCGTTTAGGACTTTGTGTGTGTTCAGCCTGTGGGACTGAACTCTGGGCAAAAACTGACAGCAAATCTTATATCTGTTTGTCTCAGAGGATCCAACTGGACGTCCCCCGTGTCCTAAAGGAGGCATTCGTCTCCTCCTCACAGGACAGGTCGGACAACTCAACATCTTTCAAACTTTGACATCTTTTTTTTTGGACAGTTTGTCTTTTTTTTGGTCTTTTTTTGGATAGTTTGTTGTTTTTTGGGGTTTTTTTTGGACAGTTTGTCTTTTTTGTTTTTTGTTTTTTTTTGACGGTTTCACGTTTTTTTTTTCGGACAGTTTGACGTCCTTTTTTGGCCAGTAACTGTCTCCTTGGTGATGAAGTGCTTCTGTGCTCTGAGCATGCTCATTATGTCCATCCTGGTCCTGTGGGCGGAGTCAGGCTGCAGGGCGATGACACTGAACTCAGTGCTCCTCCCTCAGTTGTCCACAGGACAGGGGGGGCGAGCAGGTGTCCACTCCTACCTGAGGAGGAGGAGGAGGAGCTGGGTGTGGAACCAGTTCTTCGTCCTGGAGGAGTACACAGGGGACGAGCCGCTGTACGTTGGAAAGGTACGATGGGATCATCCTCTAATCAATGTCTGATCAATCTATCAGTGCCAACATAGTCCTGGTCCTGCTCAAGGTCCAGGTCTATGTCCTGGTCCTGGTTCTGGTCTTGGTCTTGTCCTGAGTATTTGTTTATATCACTGTTGACTAGATTTAGAATTTTAAAAAAAAAAGTGTCACTTTTTATTCATAGCACCAGTTTTAAACGAACATCTGACCTCTGCAGGTGGTTTCAGTTTATGAATGTGTTGCTCAGATTCATCCTTCGTGGTCCTCTGGTTGGAGTTACCTCCCTTTGTGAAACGGAAAACTCAGCATTTCCCTCAGTTCTGGGTCAACAGACTCAGAGTTTTCACTGACAACCAGAAGCACAGGAGCAGAACCTTCACAGAACAGATGAACTATGTGGACAGAAACATCAGGTTCTCAGGGAGGATGTCGGGAGAACAAACTTCCTTTTTAGGATGAAGCCTCAACATTGACGTCTACAGAAAACCTCCACACAGACCAACATCTGCTGGTTGGTTCCCACCACCCACTGGAACATCTGATGGGTTCACCAGAACTTTACAGAACCAGGCTGAGAACGTCGAATACAGAGGGAAAAGAGAAGGAACACACACATATTAGGACAGAAGTGAAAACCTGTGGTTCTCCCAACTGGGACCTTGATCAAATCAACAATAGGATCTGGAAAACACAGAACAACAGGAGGAACAACACAGTCATCACGCATGAAGTCTGAGAAGCTCAACAAACCAACAGCACTCTGAGACATAAACGGGTTCATCCTGAGGATCAATCAGCAGCTGAGCAGCACATATCTGCAGTCCAAAGCACCTCAAGAGCACAGACCCTTATACAGAAGAGAATAAAGTCCCGCTACAGAAGAACACCACAGGAGAACACAGACTGCTTCACAGGACGGCGGCTGTGGCTCAGGTGGTACAGCGGTTGTCCTCTAATCACAAGGTTGGCTGTTTGATCCCATCCACAGTCTTTGGCAGGCGGCACCTCTTTTGCCATTGGTGTGTGAAATGAAATGTGAATGAGAAACATTGCAAAGTGCTTTGAGTACCACTAAGGCAGATGGAGATGTACAGTCATGGAAAGAAAATATCAGGCCACCTTGTTTTCTTCAATGTCTTGTTCATGTTAATGCCTGGTACCACTAAAGGTCCATTACCTGAAGAATAAATCTAACTAAACACAGCTGATCCTTCATCCTTCATGTCCTGTGTGACCTGCTTCAGCTTCATGTGTTCCCTGTAGGGTCCATAAGAGGCCGTTTCNCCCTCATCCTCCTCACCCCTCATCCTCCTCACCCCTTCATCCTCCTCACCCCTCATCCTCCTCACCCCCTCATCCTCCTCACCCTTCATCCTCCTCACCCCCTCATCCTCCTCACCCCTCATCCTCCTCACCCTTCATCCTCCTCACCCTTTCATGTTGTTGTGACCAGGCCAATGAGCTGCTGCTGAGCGGCAGGAAGCTGACGGCCCAGGAGGCGTGTTCTAAAGGTCTGGTGTCTCAGGTTCTGTGGCCCGGAACCTTCACACAGGAAGTGATGCTGCGGATCAAGGAGCTGGTGATGGTCGACTCAGTGGTCAGTCGCACACACACACACACACACACACACACACAGACGCACACACAAGGATACCAAGTCAGGTCTCTACAGGAAGCAACAGAGGACCGAGGAAACGCTATCTTGAATAATGTAATGTAATGTGGTCTGTGGTTCTGCCTCGTCTGCTGCAGGTTCTGCGGGAGTCCAAAGCCCTGATGAGGAACACAAGCCGCGGTGCTCTGGAACAGGCCAATGAACGCGAGTGTGAAGCCCTGAAGAGAGTTTGGGGCTCATCGCAGGGCACCGACTCCATCTTGCAGTACCTGCAGAGGAGAACCGAGCTCTGCTAGAACCGGGATGAGGACTAGAACCAGGACTGCCTCTCTGACTCTGTGTTTCTGAATCAGCGCCAATGACTCAGGAGATTCTGAGTGTGACTGAAACTGAGCGATTCCTCCTTTGATTGTGAACTTTTAAGTTATACTTTCAGCAGAATGCTGAGTGAAGAACAGTGGAACATTCACAGGCTCGTGTTCTGACGAGTTCTGCCAGCATCAGGTTCATCTCTGCGACCACCACAGAAAAACATCATGTTAGCTTAGCTGTAGCTTAGTTGTAGCTTAGCAGATGCATTTGTCGTAACTGTGGACAAACAGAAATGACGGACTGTGGGACTAACTTGTGGCTAGATATTAGCTAACAGGTAAACTCACCTGAGGGGTTCCACAGGGTCCCATCCTGGGTCCTCTTTGGGTGGTAACATCAGAAAAACACAGGGCTGATTATTTACTGTAGTGCCTGTCACACCAAACTGAGGGTTTATGCCTGAGGAGGACCTGAACAGACGTACACAGGGTTAAATGCCCGCATTCAGACTGAATGTTTACTGTGTTTCTATGGAAACATGTTAAAATGGCAGATTTTGTTCAAACTTCTGAACAGTCTTCAAAAGAAATGAATGGTTCTGAGCTAAGCTAGGCTAGCAGATTCCCCTTGTATCCATCCTTTGTCTATGCTAGGCTAACAGTATCCTAGTGTGTCAACTCTTTATGTTGAGCTAAGCTAGCAGTTTCCCCCCTCATCCAGCCTTTATGCTAAGTTAGCCTAACAGTTTTTGCCTTTGTCCAACCTTTATGCTAAGGTAGGCTAATAATTTCCCCTTGCCTCTAGCCTTTATGCTAAGTTAGGCTAACAGTTTCCCCTTGCCTCCAGTCCTTACGTTAAGTTAGGCTAACAGTTTCCCCTTGCCTCCAGTCCTT